ATATAATAATACCTTGTATCTAAATAACAATGTGATAAAAATACACATTATAACTTAAATTATTTTGAGATACAGATGAGCATGGTGACCTGAAATTGCTTTGAAAAAGAGAATATAAACTATAAGTTATAACTGTCTTACATATTTTAAACACCCCCAGTAATAGTAACACTTAGATGAAAGCTTAGTAAGAAAGCTACTGCCAAAGCAAATTTTTATGTTAAAATGAAAGATATCTCAACAAATAGTAATAATACTAATAGCACTCTGCTTGTTTGCATTGCATAGATGTTTAAATAATATTTTATTTCAAGTAAAATAAACTATATCTAGCATGTTGATATAAAGATATAATGGAACCATTTGGTTCTTCGGGACTGTCCCTACAAACCTACCTTTTATTTTTCAGAAAAATATCAGTTCCTCTTTTAAATGCTTTTAAAGTACTAGCCTGTACTATTGTCAATAGCAATTCATCCAGTCTCCCCTGTGAGAAAATAAAACTGTCATAAATAGAACCTAACATATTTTTCAAATGTTAAATGTTTTTCTTATCATCCTGTTACTCTCAGAGACTTATCTTGTTGACACCCTGGATAATCCTGAGATTTGATTTTTTTAAATAAAGTAGAGAAGAACTAGAAGCAACCTGATTCAGGTGTTTCAAGTTATTAAAGACTTGGATAAACTGCTTATAAGAGGTTTGTTGGACTGGTGAAAGGATAAAGATAGGGACATAACCTTAAACATTAGATAAATGTAAATTGTGAAAGCCCAGATCCAGGCTGGTCATTATGCAAAATTGTTTTCTCTCATGTCTGTTTAGGTGTGCAATGGTTTGTCAGATGATATTATGTTCTGATAGGTTGATTTTTTAAGTCTTCCCCAGAGGCTTGAGGGCTTATAATGCTAAATACTGGATTTTGATACCTATATTTGGCAGAGCACAGATAGTTCATTGTAGAACTTTGTGCTATATAACAAATCTGGAAATTTTTAATGAATAGCTTTTGTGGATAGTATTATTAGAGGTCATGTTTAGGTTAATGTTGTTTCTTTTCGATGACCTTGATCATCTTTTAAGTTTTTGTTGGCTAATTTTATGGAGAGCATTATGTGAGGTCATGGATGAATGGTCTGGTTTCTCTGTTGGGTGACATCAATTCAACCACTGGCCTTCTATCCTTTTTGTTCTTCTTCTTACACGTTAGCTGAATGAATCAGATGTGTAAACATAAACTCTGAAGTTGAATTTGCCAGCCAATAAATGTACAAGGCTAGCTGGGTTTAAAAACACCAAGAGATAATTACTTTAAAATTATATAGAGAAATAACTGAACATGACCCTAACATCCTTCAGATTAATGGAGTAGAAAACGTTTCCATGTAATCATGTTATCACTCATCTGATGAAATTTTGTGGGTTTGATGATTTTAAACCTTCTTTAGACTAATTATATATATTATTAAATGATTTGCTACAAAAAATATTTATCTTTGTATATAAAATATAGAGACTGTTGTGTGGAAATCATGAAAAGTGATCGTCTAATATGCATATATGTTTTTTAAGCAAAGGTCCGTAAAGTATACTGTATCAATTATTTTTATATGATGGAACTTAGGAGTGTCCATAATTGTTATAATATTTTTACCACTATATAGAAATTTAAAGGTCATAATGACATAATGTAGTGAAAATTTGAAATTTGTCAGTGGAAATGAGAATAAGGAAAAAGTAGATGTCTTAGTGTAGTTAGTTAATCTAAATTATACGAGTATTTTAATTTTATTTTTTAACCTTTAAGTCATGGTTTGTCATGCTGGATATGTTGGAATAGAATCAAAGTACAGTTTTGTTTTATTTTTTGCAGAATCTTGAAATTTTACATCGCAAGTCTTCTGGAATGAATTATTTTCTTCTAATATTGACTTACAACAACTCCATTACTAACAGATTGCAGTTGTAAATACAGTAGCATGCCATGCCAAGAGCTTAATCCCCTGAATGAGGAGGGAGCTGAACATCACACAAAAAAATCGAAGAGTTTGTTAAGATAGATTTTAAAATATACAGAGAAATGGCTGAAAATAATCCAGATGTCCTTTTGATTGTTGGAGGAGAAAAATTTCCATGTCATCGAAAAGTTTTAAAGAATGCATCATCTTACTTTAGTGCTATGTTTACTTCTGACATGTTGGAGAATCATGCTTCTGAGGTGGAGCTTCATGATGTTAAACCTGAGGCTTTCAGCTTATTGCTTGAGTTTGCATATCATCGATACATTGGTATAAACCAGAACAATGTATTTGACCTGCTCGAAACAGCAGCTTACCTTCAGTTCAGTGGACTTGTAGATGAATGTGTATCATATCTCCTTAACATTTTGGATTATACTAATTGTATTCAAGTTTGGGTGATAGCTGATATGATGAACTTGGAAGTTTTATTAAAGCAGGCTAAACAAATAGTTCTGTGGGAATTTGAATTTGTGGCCAATTCTTTAGAATTTTGTGAGCTTCCTAAAAGACTTCTTTTGGAAGTATTGCCTCACGATGGGTTGATAATCAACAGAGAAATGGAGGTTTTTTACAGCATTATCAAATGGATTGAATCTAACCAAAGGCTTAGATCAGATAATTTGCTTGAACTATTTATATGTATTAGGTTTGCTTGTTTATCTGCTAGAGAAATAAATGAAATATGTGCTCATCCATTTATGGAGTTTGATCCTCTAGTAAAGAAATTATTAGTAAATATATTGGACACTTCTGTTTTAAAGAAGTCAAAAAACTCTTGTATATCTACGTTTAAATTAAAGGATCATGTGAGACTAGACCATAGCTATCGAGAGTTATTAATTATAGAAGGAAAGACTTTTGATAGTTATGTAACTGATAACTCTAATCTGTCAGATGTCAAAGAGAAGTTGAAAATTATAGAATGCAAACACAGTGAAATAGTCTCCAGTGGTCAAGGCACGAGTTCACAAGAAACACAAGATGAGTATTTTAAGTTGTGGAAGGATGTTTTATCATTTGTATTTTGTAAAGGAAAACGTTGTGTACCTGTAAGTCCTATTATGATTGGTACTGAGATATCAGGAATTGATAAAATCCCAGGAGAGAACTCTCATGGTTTGTTACAAGGATTGATCTATAATGAGTCCAAAGAAAGTTTTGAAATGCTTACATCACTCTACGTTGGAGAACAGAGATCATCACCTCTAAAAGGATATAGTGCTTGTTGTGTTGGTAAGCCTTATTTGTTATTTTGGTGTTTATTGATTGTTATCTGCATGGTGATGTATAAAGAATTACTTAAATGAATAAACTATAGCTTAATAATTTTCTTATTTGACTATTGTTATTAAATTTTTAAAATGTTTCAAGATTTTCATAGTACTGTTTCAAGCACCTAATTATTTTTGGATGTTTTTTTAAAAGTTTTCCTGCTTTTGTAGTTAAAGTTAATTCAATTATTAGTATAACAATAACTAAGCTTATTCATCAGGGTGGAGTCTTTTAAAGTTTTGTTGGGACATACTCAAGTACTCCTACTTGTTTGGGTAAGAATGTTAGTATTAACCATTTATAATTAATAATATCCAATAATTTTAAGAACATGTATTTTGCTAATCATTTCACAGCTATTGATTACAGTTAAAATTTGTCTCGGAACACTAAATATATATATATATTTTAAAATACATACCTTAGTACAAATTAGCATAGTGGCAGTAAATATTGAAATAGTTTCCAAAATGAGCATAATTTAATGTCAATGTTATAGTAAATTAATCATAATTGTGTGTTCTCATAGAAAGGTTACACCCATTTAGCAGGTTATTGGAAATTTAATTGGTATGTGGTGAATTTTCTTTTTTTCCTCATCATATCATGGCTTGTCCATTAAGGAATCTTTCCTGGTTACTCATAATAAGTATAATGAAAATTACCATTATAAGTTCACATCTATAAGAATTTTATTATTATATCAGACATTTGTAGTAGTTTAGTTGGTGTTTTCACTACAGTTCTAGTTTTTCAACCAAATATACATTTTTATATACTTTATTCAGTACATGTTCTTGTGCTGATTTGTTATATTTATAACCTTTGTATATATATATATTTATAATCTCTGAACTGAAACAGTTTTGTTGTTGTTGAAGGCAAAAACATATACATCCTTGGAGGGGAATATGGCATTGGAACTGGACGATGGAATAAGAATGTTTGGATGTTTGATGTGTTCCAAAAGAAATGGTCACTGGTCAGTGTGATGCCATCTTCACGTCGCCACTTTCAGACATGTGTACTGAATGGTTGTCTTTATCTTCTTGGGGGATTCGGAAGTTACAGAGTAGTATTATTTTCAGTGGAATGTTACAATACAAAAACAGGTTAGGAAGTTTAAAATTGATACTATATCTAATAGAACTGGACAATTAACTCTATTAAGTGATATAGCCAATTACCTATGAGCATCACTTAGTGTCACATAAAATAATCATTCCATCAAAATTACAAGTATGTCAATTGATTTCATGAAAATAATCAATTCGTTTAAATTATTGTTTCTGAGATAATACTTCACCTCCATACAAGGAACAGCTATATCCCTTGTACATCTGCCTATGAGATGTGCATGCCACTAGCCTTGAGCTAACTCCCACTTAAAATATACATGTTTAATATGAACTGCACTGGTGCATGATGACATCATCATGTGATAAGAGCCCTCCATCAACAGGAAGGCAACACAATCAACTTTGCATATTAACTTCCCTGAAAAACTTGCACTCAAAATAACTACATTCTTTCCTTGGCATTGCCTTATACAAACGTTGTGATTTTTCAGTTTGCATTGAATTTTCTGAGATATGCATTCTTATAAAGGAACTTAGGTTTTGTTCGATCTTCATTTTGTTTCAAAAGTAATGAAGATTATTTTGAATTTTCAAATGACAATGAATTTGAGTTTGTCCTGTTATGAAGTTACTAACACAGGACCTGTTTCTGCTATGGCTCCTGTTGAGCATGTTACATCTATTGTGCAGCATGTTGTATACTGGACTTCCTCCTCCTGTCACTTTTGCTGACATTTCTTCACCTCCATTTGAGAATGACCAAAAAGATGATGAATTTGATCGGCTGTTACCCCCCAACTAGGTTTGCTTTGCCTTACCAGTCAAGGAAAATCTTCATCTTTCCAATCTTTTTCAGGATGTCTGTGTGTTTTGATTCTGCCCATTCTTTACTCCATGAAACTGTCTTTCCTCCTTCCCCTGATTCCTTTCTCAAACAATTCTGCTCCCATAACCACGTGCCTCGTCCTCCTTTTCTTCTTTACTTTTGTCCTGGCTAACAGCCATTCTTCCTTTTCTTTTCTAGATTCCCAATCTTTGGAATCTGTTTTGTCTGCTTGGGAAGTGAACCCTGTGTATTCTATTTCATTCTCTAGTACCCAGTTTTTGAATCTTTATTATTTCTTCACCATCCTCCTGCATTATCTTTTCTCCTTTCATCTTATGTCTAAGGCACTTCATTGTACCCCAGATGAGTTTTTTGAAGAGGTTTGTTCTCCTCTCTCTACTGCCTTGGCCCATATCGCTTCTTCAGCTCTGTCCCTTCTTACTTGGTTCCTCTGCTGTTGGGACTTATTGGGTTGGGTTGTGCTTTTCACTATGTCCATCTCCTTCCTTCTTATCTATGTGACCTTTAGTGGGCCCCATTTTCTTTCACTTGGAAGTCTTTAGTGGTATTCCTGACTTACTAGAAATGCTGGCATCAGCTTCAGTCCTCATTATCTTCTCTTGTTCCCAGTCTTTCTCAACCTCACCCTTCAACTCCTCTTCCCAATCAAATCAGTCTATCCTAGCTTCCAAGCCTTCCTTCTTTTCCTGTCTTCCTGATGTCAGGTTTAACACTAATCTTTTCAGTGAATATTATTTACTCCTTTACCTGGACCAGTCCTTTCTTTCTAAGACTTCAGCTGCTTAGGAGGGTGACTGTTCTTTCTTTTCTATCTTCCTTCTTTCTATCTCTCACCTCTGAGTCCCCATCATCATCTGTTTCTACCTTGGGAGCTTTCCTTCATCCAAATACCTCTCTCCTTACACCCTTACCAGATAGGTCCATCAACTCCTCCAATTTGTGTATTCTTCCTCGGATATTGATGATCGTAGGATATTTCATATTTGTTGCATCAGATTCATCACATATCTCATTCTCTTGCTTCTCATTTTCACTGGCCCTGTAATGAAATACTTCAGGTGGGCATATGGATATGAATAATTCCCCACACTATTTTTGCTCATTATCTTCCTCATCTGACTGTTCTGTCTTCTGCAGACTTTCACCTCCCTCCAGTTGCCATTCTTCAATCAATTTACCATTTTTGAGATGATAAGTATGTTTTCTTTTTTTCTCTGTTTCTGTCTGCCAGGATTCCACCAAATGGCTGGTGTTCCCTCCCAGAGTATGCTTATTTCCTAACATCTTTATCAGGTAAGGGGTAATGGAAAACACTCAGACTATCTGCTTTGGTTCTATTAGTGGCCATTGGTGAGATAGGGTGTTCCACAAGATCACTAGAAGTATCTTTGTGGAGAGTTCCTCGCTGATTGGGCTTAGCACAATAAGGTGAAAAGTAGGGTGGTGGTGATACTGTCAGTGTAGTGTAAGTCACCCCTGAAACAGCTAGTGTGCCCTTCTTCTGCAGTCTGAGTCTGTTAGGTGAGCACACCCAGTATGGTCTGATTGTGCCCTAACCACACTAAACTTATTGGCTTGCAGACTGCTTGTGTGCAAGTACTCATGTTCTCACTTCACCCATCTTTGTGACACTTGGGGCTTACTTGCCTCTTCCCCGTTTACATTCCAGATGAAGAGTATACCCTTGATGAGATGAGATCTCCCACAGGTGTGACTCTGTCATCAGGTGTCTCACACTGTGTGCTTTCTCACTTTCTGAAGGGAGCTCATCTAGGTTTAACTTTATACGGCTCCTCCACCAATTCAACATGGGATTCTAGTTATTCTGGGTGAGGAGGTGAGTTATCATCTCGGAAGTTAACGTTTCCATAACCTGAAAACGTATTCCTGATAGATACTCACCTGCATGAACATTCCCAGCTGACCTCCCCACTTGCAGTGCATTTTCTTCTTGCCTTGTATAAAAATTTAATTATTTTGACCACAAGTGCTCCAGGAGAGTTACAGAGCATGGAGGTTGTGTCACCCTCCAATTGGTGGAGGGCTTTTGTTATGTAATGATGTCATCATGCACCATCTCAGTTCATATTAAACACATGAATATTTGGTGGGAGTTAACTCAAGGTTAGTGGTATGCATATCTCTTAGGCAGACATGCGAGGAGTATAATCATTCTGTGTGAAGAGGTAACCATCTACCGGAAATGTACTTTAAGGTTAAGAAAATGTTAACTCTTGATTCTTCCAACTATCCAAGTTTCATGTGAGAATAATCAATTCATTGAATATAATTGATTAAGGAGTCTGACAATTAATTGATTAGCAAATTGAATTAATCATCCAGAAATAGTATCTAAACAATATTTGATGTGATACATTTAGTGAAAGAGGACAATAACTGATTATGTATTAGTTGTTGGTAAAGGTATAATACTTCAATAAAAGATAAAAAAACAACAACAACTGCTATTTAAACAAAAGAATTGTAGCATGCAACTTATCACTGGATAATTTGTAATTTACATATGATAAGTTATATTAGTAGTGTTCAGAATAAATTTTGTGGGTTAAGCTTTCTTGAAGGCTTCATGGACTACATATGTTGAAAATAGGTGACAAAAATTTAAAGTAGCTTAGTTTATACAAAATTACATTGCAGTGATGGGAAGCGTAGTCTTAGTTTATTGTTATGGCACTATCAGGTATAAAAATTCACCAAATTATGTATGATAAAATATTTTGTAAAAAGCTGGATAACATGTAAAACTCACGTGTTAATGACTACTAACAGTGATTTTTCTGTTAAGTCAATGTGTAATCACATAATAAACTTGTTTACCTGTATAACTTTTCATTTCTTCTCAGTGCAATCCTTAGATGAGCATATTGTGGTCGCTGTAGTATCATTGTGCTGTAAGCAACTTTATGTTTACATATATCATTTTGCAAACTTTTAATACATAGACCACACTTTGCCAGCATAAGTATAATATAACATGTGATTGATAGCTCTTAAATAACTGCTACACATAGTGAGTGTATCAACCAAGACTTCTGATACAATACCTTACTTCTTCTCACACATTAGATTTTCTCAATTTTATGCTGCCCTCTATATGCGCAATATTTCGCTCACCACTAACCTTGAGGCTCCAACCTAAACTCATGTGGTGTTGCTGTGCTTTAGATTGCTCTCCATGCTCCTCATATTCTTTTACATCATTCTTATATTCTTTGTTATCCTGCTTATGCATTTCACCCTAAAATGTCCATGACTCATGAAGAGGAAAGCACATTCACTCCTATTTCCCTTCCTTCAGTTTCTCACTTTTAGTCTCGTTATGATCTGGATCGTTGTCTCTGTCCAATCCATGTGGTTTGTTGCTTTTTGGCCTGCACTGCTTTATTTCATGGTTCATATTCCTGTCCATTTATTCTATGGAATTCCTCATCTCCCTGAGATATTTCTCTTATTACCCTCATAGGATGGCTACAGCAGATCATCCATCTTGCCTATGCTTCATTAGATGTGGATTCACATAAACTCTTTCAGGTCTGCTCTCACCAAAATCGACACCTTGCTATCTCTATCTTGCTGCTCACCTCAGCCATCTGTTGGAGGAGACTGCAGACTAGTGTGTGGGCTGTCCCACATCCTTTCTTTACACATTATCTTCATCATCTGGCTGTCTCTTCAATATATCAACTTCCTTCTGTTACCATTCTACATACACCTCACTGGCTCTGACTAGGTAAGTTCTTTTTCTATCTGTATTACCTTTTTTAGAGACCCTCTTCTACTTTTCAGGATCCAGCTGAGTAGCATGCAGTGCCTGCCAGGATACATTTAGGTTTAAATCTGCACTATGTGACCATTCGAGTCTGACACACTCACTGATTAAATGGGGTGTTCCACAAGATGTATTACTTCTAAACAAGGCCCAACCCAGACTGCTTCGACTCATGGACTATCATGAGTAGAGCAGCATCATGATTGCTGCCAATCCCTTTGGTCCTGGTTGTATAATATATACTTGGATTAAAAACAGGGTTTTGTGATCACCCATTATACAGTCTTAAGGTGTTGCATTCCTCTGGGCTCTCCAGTGCATTTGATCCCCCCCCCCCCTTCTTGTGGAGCATAGTAGTCCTTGCCACTCACCATTTCCTAGCTGCTGGAAATTGTGGGCTGAGGAGGATTCCTCCTGAGTGTGACCAGTTGCACTCAGTAGAGTAGAGTGGTGAAGATGGTGTGAACCCTCTTCCTACTTCGAAATGGACAAAAAATTTCTGATGCTGCCTGGTTTTAGACTGTGATTGAACCACCATGTTTGCTTTTTCCCATCCTACCATTGCCTGGTGTTGATTGTATACAGGGTCTGCACACATAAGTACTGACTAGGATGGTGGAACAGAAGTTACTTTTCCCTTCTGCTTCATGGTGAAGATGGTTGGGATCCATCTTCTATTACAAAATGGATAAAACATGCCACCTGGTTTTGGACTGGAGTTGGCCTGTCATGTATGGTCTGATGTGGTCTAGCCACACTATACCATAAGGAATGTCCAGTTTCCATACAGTGTTTCTGGACTTGCTTTTTTTCTGCTCAACTTGGTGACACGTGTCTTCACTACGGGCAAAGAATATACCCTGTTACAGAAGGGGTGTGCCCCTATACTTTCATGGTATAGGGTGTCATGCCCTATGGGTTCTCTTTGGGAACTTTCTGAAGGGAGCTTATCTAGGTAACTTTTGCACCACTTCAATGTGAGAAGAGGTAAGGTATTGTATAGGAAGTTAACACTGAAAATGTATTTACCTCCACTCATCCTTCCCACTTCCAAGTTATTTTTTCTTGCCTAATTGCAAAATGATAATTGAACAATCAGTATAGAGGGAGTAAGTTGCACTAGAAGGGTGTGTCACACTCCTATTGGTGGAAGGTTACCACATGCTCATTTGAATGCTACAGTGCTGCAATACATATTACTATGTGGAAAGACACGATTTTAGGTGGTTGCCTCAAAGTTAATATGTGAGAGAAAGCAAGTATATATTTGAAATACATTTTCAGTGTTGGAAAATGTTAACTTTCTGTGTTGCATGCCTAACTGACTTGAGTAATAGTATTTAACAAAAGGCATAATTGGTAGTGGTTTGCAACACATTCTTCTTAATGGAAAACAATACGAGGCTTGTAAAAAAAAAAATGTTTAATAATAAAATTAATATCAGTCTTTTGTCTTTATAGTGTAGATAAGTGTTATATACTACATGAATTTAATATTCAATGCACGTGTTTTTCTTTGTCTTAAATAGATATAGTGAAAACGGAACTTCTGAAAATACTAATTCAAAGCTTTTCAATACAGGTGAATGGAGTATTTTACCCTCACTACAGAACCCCTTGTTTTCTTCACCAGCCGTTTCTCATGCAGATCGGCTGTTCGTCTTTACTACAGATATTTACACTTATCATCTTGAATCTGAAGTTTGGGAACAAGTAAATAGTAATTACACTTCTGGGCCAGATCAGGAGTATTGTTGTGCTTTGTCCCATGAGATGGGTATTTATCTTATCCCTGCACAACCTGGAAATATTTTGTTTTACCAGCCAGACAACAGTGAACTGAAAATTGTTGGCTGGCTAGAAAGTGGAGCAACTTGTGCTTCTTTGTTTGGAAATTTTATTTCCATTATAAATCAGAATGAGTTTCTTTTGATCTCGTGTGAAGGAGGAACTGTGCACATAAAAAAAAGACTAGAGATTAGTGTAAATGCTCATTTTTGCCTGTCTCTGCCTTATTATTGGGACCTTCAATAAGCCTCTTCAAACCCAACTAAAGTTTCATGGTTGAAGTAATTGACATTATGTACTTACTAATCTAAACAAATAAACTATTAAATATGTACATGATATTTAAACAAATTTAGTGGTGTTTTCTATATATTATAAAAAATCAAAGTAGAGAAATCACTGAAAATTGTTTAAATGTACGTACGTACGTGTATGAGGTTAGAAATACTGAAGGTGTACACCTGTAGCATCAAATGATTAATTTTAATTTCTAATAACACAATAAATGTTTTGTTTTTTTCGTTTAACATTCCATGATCTTTACCTTTGGAAATGTTATATCATACAGAATATTAAATTATATTTATATTTTCAAGTCAAGGATTTTTATTTATACTTTTAAAATTGTAAAATATTTAACATATAAAGTCACAGGTTTCACCATAGCTTATCCAAGTTTTTTTGTATCTTATAATGAGTCAGTACAAAATCAGTGTGACAAGCAAAGCCTCATTAATTCATTAAATAATAAAAAATGTTTTTTTTATCCATTAATACTCCATGTTTGTTTACTTTGTCATACAAGCCTTATGGTATTTTGTAACAACCATCTTCAGGCACAATGTTGAATCATTTTTAACAAGAAATGTGTACTGGTAATAAAGATGCGCATGAAAATTAATATGTCTGTTTAATACTAATACATTCTCTAAAGCACAACAAAAATCAACAAATTTATAAGTTCTTTTATGTATCATCTGCTCAGAAAATGCAGTTCCAATGACAAAAATAGGGCCTAGTTACTATGCAGAAAGCTTTTCATTCAGAACTAAAACTCATCAGTTGGGCTGGAGATAAGAGACATAAAGACTATTAAATGCTATTTATTTAAGCACTTGCAGCTTAAACACTGAAAGCTGGCTAGGTATTAGAAACCAATAGATCGAAAAACTAAAAAAACCAAATATGTATAGGGGCATAGGAGCTGGGGTATTTCAAAGCCAAAGAAATATTATAGATGGTAGCATTACATATGTCTGATCTATAAATACATATAATAATATGCATTAAACTGCATCCTACTGAAATGAGACATTAATAATTTGTGTTCATTTAGAAAGACAAACTATTATTGACTGTGTTACGGGTTATAACTTATGTATCTTTTACAAGAATTGTCTTTTGAAAAAACTACTCTGAGGTTATCTGTAAAATGTAATCTAATGTTGTTGTTTTTAGCAAGTCCACATAATGGTATCGTTTTAAAACAGGATATTATGAATATAACCAATGATGCTAGAACAAGAATTGTCTTTTGAAAAAACTACTCTGAGGTTATCTGTAAAATGTAATCTAATGTTGTTGTTTTTAGCAAGTCCACATAATGGTATCGTTTTAAAACAGGATATTATGAATATAACCAATGATGCTAGAACAACATAAGTGAAAAATGTTATAATATTATGAACTTGGAAAGTTTTTGTACAAAAAAGTACTCCAACAAAACCTGATCTAACTTTAGAAGTTACAGTTTAAACATCTTCAGTGTTTCCATGGATATTTCCTCATAGCTGTTTGGAATATGATTTTCCTACATATAAAAAATAAACTGAGTTACAACTTTAACAACCTACATAATTGACTCGGCTTATTCTCCTTGAACGTACCGAAATAGAGGATACACACAAGTGCAAGGTTCATAAGTATTTTTTTATTGAAAGCTTTTAAAGAATTAAAAACAATCTTATTTATACTGGTTGTGTATTACATTGTGGTTATGTAGCTTAAAAAGTCTCTTTCAACACTTACGCACTTGTACATCTTTGCTTACTTAATAAGATAAATCTCACATTCTTCAACATGTGAAATAACCACATTTTTTTTAAGAACACTTGCTTGTCTGGAATGTACTTTGTTGCAAAATACAAATATTCTGTAAGTTCTCTAAAATTGATTAGTGAAACCTAAAATATTCAATATAAAGATATCAGTTTTGATAAGTTAGGAAAAGGTCACTTTCACTTTGATTGTGAATAATGCTAAACAGAATTAAGTTTGAGTAACATGAATACATTGTAGAGAAATTTGCCTAAATGGCCATTGACTACCTATTTCTTATTGTTTGTAAATATTTTGCTACTTAAGAAGACATTTCTTCATAACACACAGATCAGTAGTAGGTAAATATTCTAAATTTAAAATAAACTTTAGATCCACTAATATTGAACATCACCAAATATAGGTACAAGTTTTGGCACTTTCATACATCCTCTTCAGTCCCATATCTGTTTGTGAGAGAAACACAAACTCATGGGTGCCTGCGGGAAAGGCCAATTACCATCTACATTTCACAAAAATTGCATGTATTATGATGTAAACAACTTAACATCATAGTTAAACTAAATATTTCCAGTAATTTTTATTAAAACTGTAAATTTGTGTTTAAGCACACATAACATACATTCTTTTAGTCTGTTGACTTACAATGTAAAAGCTGATCCCCTAAATACGTTTTGCCTCCCCCAAGAATTTTTTTTTTTTTTTTTTTATGGGTGACCATGCATAAACTGTTAATTTTATGATGGAAGTTTCAAATCCATTAATAGCATATGACATCATAAAGGGGTTGAGTTTAAAGTGACCTTCAGACGTGTTGAAGTTTGGCAAACTTTGGATTAAGGAACAAACTTTCCACAATCTATCTTTACACATAATTTCTAATTTTATTAATTATTTTAACTGATATCCAGTTGATTTTAGGTCTGAAATTCCTCATATAGAAAAACAGATATTTAACATCCTTTTTATGTACTGCAAGCTTTGTATGTACATTTTACCATCATTTACTCTTTTTGCAAGATTGTCAGGGGACTTTATACACTCCCTGCTCTTTATTTTGAGATACAGAGTTGTTCAAGGGTAAGAAATCTTTAATGGTGTTGGGATATTTATAAACAACTTTAAAATTATTTTACAGACATTTCTCTAAAGCCACAATACTGGAACTGTAGTTAACACTAAATATTTTATTTTTTCACATGTAGAATATGCTACTTGCTGGTACTAGCCCCCCACCCAGTTCTTTGTCCTTAGATGGACATTCTTAATAAAGCCTATAGGATACTGTAACCATTTGAAAATTGTATACATATTTTTATTTCTTTAACAATGCTTTTGTGATGATATAATCTGTAAGCTCTTAAAAACATTGTAGATAATTGATGTTTCATGGTGGAATATTAAAATAGCTTAAAGGATTCATTGATCCTCCATAGATAAAATAGTAGCTATTTCTGCTCCAAGTATTAATGTCTTAAAAATGGGAGCAAATTATGGGTTTCTCCTTCCACTTTAAACTAAATAGTACCGTGAAGCTTGTTAATCTTGTGGAAAAAAGCTTACAAGTAATTTCTATTGATTGGACAAACAGAAAATGTGTCAACAACATATCAGAACCAGCGATTTCCTTTGTCTTCTGGTGTCAAGGGGCTTGAAACTTCCATTCTGAAATAAACAGTGTATCTGTTTTTCTCATGAGCAGACGGACTGAAGAAGATACGCAAGTGTTGAAACTCGTATCTGTATACAAATTTCTTGTAGTTTCAAAACAATAGATCTAAACTTGTTTTTACACAGGTCAATTTTCTGCTTTAAGAAAGGGGTTTTTTCCAACTGGTTCAAATTACATGCATTTCAAGAGATAGAACACTGGGCTTTCCAAATAGTAATCTTATGTTATAATTAAAAACACCAAAAATTTCGAATTTAATGCATAAAACCCTTTAGCCATGTTATTTATTACTAGCAAACCTGGCATTGAAATGTGTTCCTTGATTACAAATACCATAGAGTTGAGCCTTTTGACTTTAAAATGTTGATGGCTTTCCAATTTGAGTTTTTGGTCCAAAATTACCACTTACTATAACCATATAAAGATTCCAACATGAATTTGATCACTGGAGATATTAAAAAAAGTCAAATTGGTCATTATACTTGTATTATTAATTTTTCTTGTGATGTCCATCACATTTTAGTCTCTGCTGCAAATCAATATACACCAAAATCTCTGTTAGTGCAATCTTACAAATCTCCCTAGTCAGCACGACTACAGTAAGTACACTTGTGATAAACTTGATTGACACCTAGTCATGCAAATTTTGCTTCCTACTGCAGTCAACTGTGCAAACAGTATTTCATAAAGTATCGTATAATTTAGATACATTCTATAAATATATATGCATAAGCACACTTGTATGCGTGCACACACACTCTTCAAAAACGTTGACAGAAAAGATACTTTTGTATTTTGGTTTAATTGTTTTTTGTTTGGTGAAACAATTTTCTGATACTTTTTTTCAGATCAGTGTAAAAAATTTGTAAAGAGGTTTCACATTACAAAAATGGCCCCACAAAACGACCTGCAAAAGTGGCACTTAAGTCACTTCCATTGTAATATGAGCTCTTTTACTACTTATTCAAAGCAACATGTGAAAGACATATATCAGAAAATAGATAATATAAAAATATTTAACAATTGTCACATAGGTTTCCTGTATGGTTATTCTGACAGAACCATTAGATGTTATTCCTTTATATTACTAATTCACTACTATTCATCACTTTTATGATCAAAGGCTGCTGTTTCTAAACAACTGCTGGCAGCCTGGACTCTTTAAGGTTTCTTGAAATGATGAATATTCTTTTGTATCGGGTAAACCACAGAAAGAAGGAGTCCAAACCTTAAGGTTTACTTATCTTAATTATGCCACTTTTGCTTTTTTTTATATTTATATATAAAAAGGCAGGAGTAGCTTAGCATCTAAACTTTGATGTTTAAGCATTAATATCCTATTTATTGTTTTCAGTGTATATAATTAATTTCAAAAAGTATATAATTAAACTTTGTATAGGCCTCTCATAAAAAATAATACTTTCACATTTGATGCTTTTTTTGTGTGAATATGCAAATTTTAAAGCCCATAAGATAGAGAATTTTGATGAGCTCACAAATATTGATTTTCACAAAATTAAAAGCACTCACAGTGTTACCTTTTCAGAAAAGATACACTGACAACAAACAAACAAAGCACTATGCATAACAGGAGAGGAACATAATTACACATAGTTAGATACAAATTTAAGTTATTTGTAGAAATGGTCCTCCTTGTTAACAAATCTACACAATTAGTGGTGGTTCTTATAACCAATATACAACTACCGTGATTAACTTTGTTGATCCTTTATTATAACATCCTTTAGAAATTGTGCATTTGTGTCAGTCCTTGAAATTGTTTCAGCAAGTTTAATTTAATTACAGTGTAAGAATGACTTTGTTTATATTGTTTGCTGTCTAGTTAATACAAAGTGAACACAAGTGTTCTTATATGACAGGTTGGTGTATTTATAATTTAAATATTCAGAAATACTTTGGATGTAAATTTTAAATAATTACTTATTTAAACAGACAACACAGTATTTGTAGTTTAGGTTTGACCATTCCATCAGGAGATTTTGCAAGGGTCAGATATGTTTGATGGTGGTCATCATTGAATTGCAACTTTTAATTGCTGCAAGACATCCATTATTAGTGCACTAAGTATTCTTTGTAATTTAAGCATAATGGTTATTAGCCTCTCCTAACATGGTCAGCCTTTTCTGTTGATTCATTCATGTTCCATATTAATGAGAGACTGGTCAATTCGACACCCTAGGCCAATTTTGTGGAGCTAGTCTACTTCTTTCTGGAAACAAGGAAAGAAAATACTTGCAAAACATCACTCATTGTTTGCTAATATAAGAAAGTCAGTTATCAAAATATGGTCCCCTGAAACAAACTTCCAATCTTTTGGAATTGTTCAAAACATGACAACAGCAGTCTTCTGTTTGAAGTGTGAAACATTTCTTTACAAACATTGACACTGGAATAAAAAAAAAACATATGAAAATCCATCCTTTACCTGACCTATTATTAAAACTTAATGTGCAAACCAATAAAGGATGTAAAATGACTCATCCTTCCTTTGTAATTGGTTTCCTGTAAACAATAGCAGCAATTGCAACTGCTAAATTCAAGACAAGTGATAAGGAATGGTATAAAAGCAGCACTGGGTCCCAGACCTCAACTGTGTATGTCAAAATACGGGCTGAAAAGAAAAAAAAAGCTCGTTAAAGAGTAAAATTACAAAAAAAATAGTAAATACATCTCATTTACTTACATGAAACCAATCAGATACAAAAATCAAAAGTGTAATCTTGAAAAGTTTTGTCCATTTTTTCTTCAAATGTTCTTACATAATATATAAATAATATTTTTTATGTAAAACTATTTGGTCACTCTTTCTAGCAAAACATAATTTTAGGTACAAGTCATTTATTCATTACACTGAATGAAAGTTGTGTGACGTCCCTGCTGTTGTTTGTTGAGTACAGACACATCTTCAGTAATTCAACTACATTCCTACAACCCACTGACAAAAAACTTCACAAAAATGAGATATGCGGATATGTGGAGTTAAGCATAGAACACAGCAACACTGAAATGGAGTTTGACAAAACCTGCTTTTTTTTACACTAAGAGCAGTTAATCATTACCTTTTGTTTATATTTCTATTTATTGCTATGCCATATCTGTCTGAGACTATCTGATAGGTAGTAGTTCATCAGTCAGACTATTTTACACAAGTGTTAATCTAACCTACTTAATTGTTTTTATCCTGTTGATAAGTTACAAATTCAAACAGATATTTCTTTTTGATAAACACACAATATAAAGATTTAACTGTTAACTTCATCACAAAAAGAATTAAAGATAATCCCAAGCCAAAGTTTAGGAACTTAAAACTAAGAAAAGAGAAGACCTGTGGACAACTAAAGATTGGACTAGAACTTCAAACTCTTGGAAATCTACCAAAAATATCTAAAAATCTGGACCACAATGATTTTTTCTGGTAAACCAGGACTAGATTAAAATATTGCCAATATTTACAACTGACAATCTTTGTCATTGGTTTCCATTATTTGTCACCATCTCTTGGCTGGTCCAACAAGGTACGTATTTGATAGTAAAACAACCCTTAAAGTCAGATAATGGACTAATGAAATAAACAAAGTGATATATCTTAATTATACAGTATGGAAGATAGCTTAAAAAAAAGTCAAATATAAATATCAAAATAAATTTATCTTTGTTCTTTATACTTACTATTATTGGTTATTTAGTCATAGTTGTATTTCTTTTAATACAGTAATTAGTAAACGACTCGGCTCTATGTTGCCGACCAGTGAACTACATTTATGCGATATCTCTATGCAGCATTATTATATAGTTCAAGAGAGAAGTTCATCAAATTATTATAAAAGGTGTTCTTATGATTATTTACATAATCTCACATTCACACTTCATTCTTTCTCCTTCAAATACACAATAATAATAAACAGTACTCAGAAAAACAGTATTTTGATTTACAATTGTTTCTATAAGGAAAACTTCCTCAATATTGCAAATCTAGCTATATCTCACAAGTTGTCATTCCTGCTTTTTCTTTACAAGTTAAACTTTGATGAATTCTTGAGTTACAGACTTTTTATAAATCTAGTGTAGTTTTACTCACTTTCAATTAAATATTTTTTTATGATGGAAAAAAATTTACATAGCTTGATATTCACAGAGCAAGTTAACTCTGTGATACTTTCTTCGAAACTTAATACATAATTTTTCTTTCCCAATTTTAAATTATTGGTTGTGTTGGATTTTATTCACATTACATATTTAAGTTTATGACATACCTGCACTGGTAAAAGCACCAATCTTCCAAGTTAAAGCACTGACTTGTCCAGCATCTTTTGATAATATTATGGCTCCCAATTGTAGAAGTTTGCTTCCTACTGCTGTGGGAATTCCTAGGTTCTAATAAACAGTGTTATTAATATTTAATAGCAACAACCAATCTATACACATTAAAATTACTAATTGTATAAAGTATTTCTTTGATATACGTTACAAGAACATAGCTGTATGTATGTTACTTGAAAATGTTTAATATTATAGGCAGGCATTACTAACTACATACGGTGAAGCTATCTTTTCACAAACTTTAACATAAACCCAGACATATTTTTTGGATTACTAAAAATTAAATTTACCTGTAAACTCTTATCCACAAAGATATTTAAATTTAATGTTGTCATAAATATATAGATATTAATTAAAGTTTATTATTCCTATCCCCTCTAATACTACTGGCTCAATCTCAACTGTGAATAATACAAACACAATAAACTGTAAGAGCTTTATTGGTCATTTCATGATGCAGGCCCCTACAATATACAGTACAAAGCATCAAACAAGAAGAAATTATCAGAATGTAACACCAGAAGCTGCTAATAAAATCTTATTTTATTATGGAAAGTGTAGACTTAAAATGCAATAATCACTTACAATATCAGTTACCAGAAAAAAAGGGGTGATTCCTGATGATTCTACAAGAAATGAAGAAATTATATATAAGTAGTGGAGCAAAATTAGTCCATGACACATGGATAGCAAACTAGGTAGAACCTCAGATTAAACTGAAATTAGTTGTGGCCACAAAAGTAATTTCTCTGTATTTGTGTAATCAGTTTTAAAACTATATGTTATACCTATATATATTGCCCTGTATTTGTGTAATTAATTTTAAAATTATATGTTATGCCTATATATATTGCCCTATATTTGTGTAATCAGTTTTAAAACTATATGTTATGCCTATATATATTGCCCTATATTTGTGTAATCAGTTTAAAAACTATATGTTATGCCTATATATATTGCCCTATATTTGTGTAATTAATTTTAAAACTATATGTTATGCCTATATATATTGCCCTGTATTTGTGTAATTTATTTTAAAACTATGTTGTGTCAGCGAGGTCACGTGACTAGTGTCACGCCCCCTGCTTTCTGGAAATATCTAGTACCTTCGTGAATTGTCGGGAGATTACTAGATATAGGGTAGTCTGGTATATGTATAAGAGGGTGATGGCGTGACACATAATGTGTGTGTAGGTAGTGAGTAATTGAACTGCAGTCAGAAGTATTGTTGACGTTCGTTGATATAGCGTTTGTTATAGAGCGGCTGTTGAAAATAAGTGTATCGTAAAGTTGTATTCGGAAAGAATAAACCAGTTTTATTAAGTAAGGACTTGTGTCGCTAAATTTTCATCGGAACGAAGTTACAGAAAATCAATTAACAAACGGAGACGTAACAAATTGGTGTCAGAAAGTGGGATATAAAAAAAAATGGAAACGAGAGGCGGAAAATCAAACTACGGCTTAGCAGACTTGATGGCAGCAATACAAGAGCAGCAAAACAAACAAGAAGAACAAGAAAATGAACGAGAAAACAGCAGCTGCAAGAAAACCTGCAACAGTGGCAGCTCGAACAACAAAATAAACAAGATGAGAGATTACAGCAGTTGTTAGAGGAAAAAGAAAAGAAACAAGAAGAACAAGAAATTAGACAAGAAGAGAGATTATAGCAGTTGTTGGAGGAAAAA